ACAGGTTGAAGAAAAGGAAACTGTTGTTGCTGGGATGTAGAATTTATGAGTATTTTCCTAATATATTCTTCGATTATACATTTCTGTAGTTCTGTTTTGTGACTACCATGCGAATTGAAGAATGGCATAAAGGAAATTAAGTAAGGATGTTATTTAATAAAGGTCTAGGTATGTGAGATGGAAAGGGAGCATACTTCTACTTATTATGATTGTTGTTGTCGTTTATATAAATAAAAGGGAATTAGGAACGAATAAAATTACTGAATAGATACGGTATGTTTGTGAAATAAACAAATAGTTCCAATAACTTGGCTTTAAATTTGACGAAAAAAAGTGGAGAGGAGAAATAGAAGCACAAAAGGAAAAGAAATAGAACCAGTCATCTTCTAATATCACAGATACCTCCTTTAAGCTTGTTTTAAAGGGGAGTATGAAAAATAAAAAACAAAGTTCTTTAAGGTTTCCATTTTCTGAACTTCAATGTTACGAACTATATGATATCAGAACACTATAACTTCATAAATTCAGTAAATCAAGATTGGCTAAAACTTACAAAATTCACATCATATTCATGCATACCAGGGTTAATAGATTATATTTTCCAATGGAATGCGTGGACCAAGCATACAAGCAACTAGCATTTCGCAAATAATAATGTTAAAGCAGAAGACAAAGCGACAAATACCTCCCATATGATGGCTGTGCAATCACTTGACGATGATGCCAAATACTCTCCATTGTTTGAAAACTGAATGAACCACACTTCATTCTGATGACAAGTCAATATCTGCACAAAGATTAAACAAAAGACCACACTATATTAATATATTTAATACAAAAAAAAGGCTAACAATCCATGAAAATATAATCAAGATTCCTCACTCTAGCAGATAACATATATGCAAAATATAAATGATGAATACAACTGAATCCCCAACACGTACTTAGAATATTATTCATATAAATATTTCATTAAAGTGTCCTATGAGCAACAGCATTGTTGCTTGACTGAGCAAGGAATTCAGAGAGTCAATATAGGCTTTGTTTATTACAAATGTGCAAGCTATATCGAAATTAGATAGTCATTTTTATAGCAAATCTATAAGATGTGTGTGCAACAAAGTTCCGTGCAGTCACCCTCTAGAGAAATTAGTATCAGTCATAGCATGACAATATTTCTTATTTCAAAGCATTGCTCTATCCATCTCACACAAAACAGGAAATATATTGAATGATCACCAGAATTAATATGAAATATAGTATCACCCGTTGAGCTACAGTACTACTCTAACTATAATAACAATCTTACACGTTAACAAAAGTTGGACTAAACGAATTAAATGATAATTTTTCATTCTGCAAAATAACTCCCATAAATTAACCTGAATAGTCTCTGTTGGAAACTGACTTCGATCACAATGGTGATCCCTATACAACGACACCACATCAGATGAACTGTGGTACATACAGCTCTCAATCTGAGCGCACACAGCCATCTCGACCAAATGTTCCAGCCTTCTCTCAGGCAGTGTAATTGGTGGGGGTAAAATTTTTTCCAGCTTCAAGATCAGTCTTTCTCGCAGCTCAAGCACACCATCAGAATCCGTACAACCCCACCCCTTCAGTGAAATCAATCCATAGGAAAGCTCGTGAAGCTTTTCTTTGCCAATCTTCAAAGCTGAAAACTTTCTTCGTAGTAAGTCCAATGCGACAGGGATGTGCCCAGAATTCAAGCATTCCAACAAGCACTGCTCGAGAACAATGAACAATGCTGACGATCTCATCTCATCAGCCAAGGTGTCCATTTTATTGAGACTTCTAATGCAATCGTCCCAATTGGCATTGAGAATTTGTGATTCGAGTGCTTCAAATTCACAGGACTTGAGTGTGATGCAAGACTCTGTTTCCAAACAGGAGGCAGACCTACTGTAGCCCAGGGAATATAAACATTGGACTATGATTCGTACAAGTTCATGCTTTCTAACAAGGCCTTTCGGGCCGACCATGGTTCCTTTATTCTCCATTGTCCCATTTACAGCAGGATATTTAAGAAAAAGAACAGAAAAAAGGGAACAAATTTCAGCCAAGTGCACTGTATTTTCAGCTACATGGCGTGAATTTGCCTGTTTGTCGAATCTTTCTATTTAGTGAAAGAAAATAACACACCGCATAGAATTCCATGCAGAGGCACTGAGAAACATGCAATTTTTGCGATCAGACAAATAAGCAATGTGGGAAATGCAAGCCTCGAATCTCGCCATTTACATTCACTATTTGTGGCATCGGCAGTATGAAACATGTACCAAAATAATTACATTTCAAAATCGCTATTAGGAAGCATCTCTTGATCTGATAATGATCCCAATCCTAAGGAAATCAATACAGGATTCGCAATGGAAGAATTGAACTTTAGCAGTATCTACAATGGAGCACAGCTGTATGCAGATTAGCGCCAAACTCACTGTAAGCCCTTTGATTTATTAAAAAAAATCCAGACCATCAGCTTGGACACGAAGAAACACAGAAACAAACCGCGCCAATTTTGAGCATCTGCTACAACCAGCGGAGAGAGTGAATGAGATTCAAGGAGAGCAATTTGGGAAATTAGGGTTTCACTGAAACTCGCGGGATAAGAAAATTGAAACGCCAACAAGGGTATGAATTCGACTCAGTCAAGCACTCGTTTGGAAATCGTTTTATTTTTTAAACTTAAAAAACTTTAAATTTAATTTAAAATTTTATATTTATATATAAATAATTGTAGGTATCCGCGGATAACCTATTTTCCCACCAAAACCTATTTTAGACTTAGAAAAGTAAAAGTTTTTTGCTTTTATTACAACAATAACGTCTTTTTCTTCTTTTTTTTTTTAATTATGTGTTATGGTTAAGACCATCTCCAATCGAAAAATTCATTCTCAAACTCATTTTGCAGTAACTGTCACATCAAACAGTAATTCATTTCCAACCGAAAACTCATTCTCAAACCTAAAAGAATATTCTTATAATATTCTCTTTTACAACAACTTTACAACTTTTCAATACTACTCACATATATAACAAATTACAAATTACAAATTAAACCACATTATTATTTCAAATTCGATTTGAAATTTGTGTTATAAATTAATTATAAAGTTATAGTTCATATACATATTAAAATTGAATAAATAAATATTAATTAATAATTGAAAATTACAATGTGCAATATGAAAAATTAAAAATACGTTGAAATGAACATAAAATAATTATTCGTACAAGCCAAAATTACAATCTTTCGAGTTTCAGAATTTGTGGGTTATTTTTTATGGTTTAAGATGTATTTTTATTTTATGTAGTTCTATGTTATCTTTTAATATTATGACTAATTTGGTAATATTAATATTTTTTTATATTTGAAATTTATAGTCTTTTTAAAATATATTTATAAAATATAATATAAAATTAACAAAAGTAATACACTATTTCATANCTATTTCCTTATTTATGGTATGTAGGATTAGGAATATAATTGAAAGTTATCTTGTGTAGCAAGATAAGAGTTTTAGGGTTGGAGGAATATATATATATATATATAGAAGTGCGCTCAAATTAGAATGAAGTACAATGAAAGAAATAAGAATGATTCTAGACCACTGGATTCATCACATCATGACCATGATCAAGTCAAACCTTGATCAATCATTAATGGCAGTATGGTAAATTAACATGCATTGGTCAAATGTATATATTTGACCAATTATTAAGGGTATTAAGGGTATTTTCACCACATCTCCAGTTGCATCTTGTGCGACGTTGCGCCTCTGGCCGGTGAGACTGGTTATGTGATGTCGCGTCTCGACGTCGCTGGAAATTTGAGGAGATCGGGAAAAAATTTCGATTGACAGTGGTGGTTACATTTTCGTGGTCGGAGGTGGGTGGTGATGTGGATATGGACTGACGACCGTCAGCCCGTCGGATGAGCGGGAGAGTGGGGAGGGAGGTGGTTGGGAGAGTGTAGATTTGGGATTGTTTTTTGAGAATTTGATAGGGTAGAAGGATTCAATAGCAATTTTGTAAACTTTGATAAATTACAATTGAGTTCAATGGTCAAATATGTAATTAATTAAAATATGATTAGTATTTATCACTTAATTTAATATCTTAAATTTCCTATTTTTGTTGTATTTTAATATGTATGGCAATTTTGTAATTTATTAAAAGTGCCACAAGTGCACATTATAATACAAAAAATGCACATTATTATATGTTAAAATGCACATTAAAAATTACATTGTAACTTAATTACATTATACATTTTGCAATGTTTATCGTTCAATTGGTTTTGTTGTTTCCATCGTTTTAAATAATAATGTCGACATATAATCGAAATATTGAAGTTTTTAAAAGTACAAAAATCAATAATTAAATTGAAATATAAAAAATTCGAATCGAAAAAATCTTAGTTCGATCGTTCTCGGTCACTAGTGTGCAGTCTGATATACATTAATGTGCAATTTGTCTAACACGAATGTGCACTTTCTCTGTTGCTTTTGTGCAACGTGAATTAAAACTAATATTAATTACGTGGTGTATTTTACTGGTTAATATTAGTATTTTAATAATTAATTTTAATAAGTTTATATTATTTTTTGGTTGAAAAACATAACATATGAAATCCTGGATCTGATGTTGTGCATTCATACTTAAAATAATGTGCATTTAGTCTAACATTATTGTGCATCATATTGTGCGTGTATTTTTTTTTTTAATTCGTTACGGTTTTATAAATAAATAATAATGCGTATTTTCAATTAACATGATTATGCAATTAAAAAATTATTTATATATTAAAATATAATTATTATTTATAATTTTTATTTAATATTTTTATACTATTGCTTGTTGAAAATAAGTAAGATTCACATAAGTTGGTCCTTTTTTTTTTTT